AGGTTTAGGAATTTCTTCCCTGCCACATTTATTATCCCCTTTACATTCAAGGAGAAGCTAGACGGGACCTTGATACTGCTTAGGCATTCAAACATGATTTCCTTCTCTTCTTTGCTAAGAGTGTAGCTAGCAGGACTTAAGTAAAGGCATCCATTATCTGCCTTCTCTGGATGTAGGTTGTCTCATTCTTTCAAACACTATAGGTCCTGTCATGCTTCTAGTGTATCTTTATGTTTCCTATACACACCCGTGAAGCCTGGCAGGTTCACAAAAAGATTCTTCATCAGTTGCATCACGTTGATCACGTTGTGGACCTCTAAGACTTGCTAATAGGGTAGCTCTCAAAATATAGACTTATTATTCCACATGGATGCATGTCCGTTAGCATCATTTGGAACAGGTTGGCTGCCAGGTCCCTTCCCAAAGACTACTTGTACATCCTTGACCATATTGAATACATCCTCACCACTATGGTTGTCAGGCTTTGTCCAATGATCTGATTACCTTTAAAATGCTTGCCTTTCCTTCTTAGGGGGTGATTCTAAGGAACAAATTGACGATGGCTAATGTACATGAACTTCTGACATTTTTTTCAAATATATACTTTCGGTGTCATCAAAACAGTGCGTGCAGGCATTATATCCCTTGTTTGTCTGTCCTGAAAGATTACTAAGAGCAGGCTAATCATTGATGGTTATGAACAACAATACTTATAGGTCAAAGTGTTCCTGTTTGTGCTCATCCACACACGTACGCCTATTCTCACAAAAGTAGAAGTTCCTCAATTAATGGCCTCAGGTACACATCAATGTCGTTGTTAGGTTGCTTCGGGCCATGGATGAGCACTGGCATCATAATGAACTTTGGCTTCATGCACAACCAAGGAGGAAGGATGTAGATACATAGAGTCATAGGCCAAGTGCTATGACAGCTGCTCTACTCCCCAAAAGGATTCATGGCATCTGTACTTAAAGCAAACCTTAAGTTTCTTGCATCTTTTGTAAACTCTGGGAATTTTCTATCGAATGCTCTCCACTGGGACCCTTCAGTGGGGTGTCTTAACATATCGGCTACCTTACGGTCTTATTTGTGCCATCGTAGCAACTTTGCATGCTCTTTGTTTCTGAACAAACATTTCAAGCGTGGTATTATAGGAGCATACCACATCACCTTCGTAGAGATTCTCTTCCTAGGGCGTTGTTTGTTGCCCTCAACATCACCAGGGTCATCTCTCCTAATCTTATACCGTGATGCAAGGCATATCGGGCATGCATCCAAATTCTCGTACTCCTTGCCATGGTAGAGGATGTAGTCATTAGGACATGCATGTATCTTCTTAATTTCTAATCCTAGAGGGCAAACAACCTATTTTGCTTCGTATGTAGTGGTAGGCAATTCGTTATCCTTCAGAAGCATCTTCTTTGTGATTTTTAGTAACTCCCTAAATCTCTTGTCGGATACACCATTCTTTGCTTTCCATTATAACAATTCTAGGGTGGTACCCAACTTTTTTTGCCCCTCTTCACAATTTGGGTATAGCAATTTCTTGTGATCCTCTAGCATGCGCTCAAGCTTGATCTTCTCCTTTTTCACTTTCGCTCTCTGTGCATTACGAATGGCCTAACCAAGATCATCAGCGGGGTCATCTTCTACCGCTACCTCTTCTTCTGCTTCTCCCATTGCAATAACATCAAAGGTACCATATTCAGTGAATCCACGAATAATGTTGCCATCATCCCCTTCTTCTTCATCTTCTTCCATTATAACCCTACTTTCTTCGTGCTTGTTTCAACAAATATAGTTTGGCATGAAACCCGACCTAAACAAATGTTCGTGAAGGGTCCTTGATGAAGCATAATCCTTCACATTCTTACAGAGAATACATGAGCAGCACATGAAACCATTCCGCGTGTTTGCCTCGACCACACATATGAAATCACGCACGCCCTCAATGAACTCTTGGGAACGGCGATCAGCGTTGTACATCCATTGCCGGTTCATCTACATTACATGACCACATCAAAACCTTGAACATAACTAATTAATATCCTGTATTACACAACATGCATGATTGGTTAATTAAAAGATCCAAAATACCCATCACTCAACATGATTAATTAATATCCTATATACCACAGGTGTTTCACTCAAACATTAATTTATTAAAGCCTTGATACAATGTAGACAATCCCAAATAGCACTAAACAAACTAAACCTACAATGCACTTCAACAGAATAAGGATTTCGTGACTAATTCCAACTAAAATAGAAAAATCCTTCGTCAGTTTTTGATCGATGGGCTTTTTCTGCTGGTTCGCTGCCTCTTCATGCACAAGTGCATTCTCATCAGCCACCTCAGTCAATTGTTACACGTGGTTAACATACTCTTCCTCACATTACCAGCCTTCACATCTAGTGTCATCCCATGAAATTAAATCAATAAATCAAGAACTTTAATAAAAATCATCACGAAAATGGCTACAAACCATAAAAAATACGGCCAAAAGAACTCACATTGCAATCCGGACACATGTAGAAGATGCGACCCTTGTTGGGACCCTACTTCTTCACTTTGTACTCCAGCATAGTCTTTAGCTGACACTTGCCTCATGCAATGAGGGGGAGGTCCGGCCTCAGTCGCTTAGGAACTCGATGCGAGGCCGAGGACCCGAAGCAGTCGCCATCTACTCTCGATATCTCTATACCCATTTTTATCAATTACCATAAATTTCTCTATTTCTAAACCATGAAATGGGCTATATATACTAGAAATGAAAGGAGGATACTAGTTTCGATGAACTGCTGTAAGCTTCCTTCATCTACATATGCAAACTACCAATTGAGTTTAAGCTCAAATGGCGTATAAATAAAAAAAAATTCACCATTATTTCCAATCTAAAATACCATAAATGTCTCTATTTCTAAACCACGAAATGAGCCATACTAGCAATGAAATAGGAGAGGATGAAGATGCTAACCTTTATAACCCAAGAAAGGATGGAGGAATGAAGTCTTCACAAATCCCTCAAAGCATAAATTCTTCCACGAGCAAGAACAGAGAGCATGCAAAGCTCGAAAAGGCCTAGATTGGGGGAGGAGGGAGAAAGTACCCGGGACCTGTAGCCCCAGTTTGTGAGTTCAAACCTGGATTACAGGTCACTTTATAGTTCTAATTGGAACCACCAATCAGGATTAAAGGTTTAGTAACGGTTACTAGCTTCAACCGAGACTAGAGAATGAACCTTTAGTCCCAATTGGAGCCACGAACCAGGACTAGAGGTCCCCTCCTACAAAAGTCCGCGCAAACCTGCGACGCTAACCATTGGGCATGGGGTTTTAGTCCCCTTTCGTGGATTCAACCGGGACTACTGATCCCTTTAGTCCCGGGCACGAATTTAGCTCAGACTAAAGCCAAAAACCAAAAGTTTGTTCTCTACTAGTGATTATAAAGTTTGACTCTTGACTTACGCGAAATGACTTATAAACTGGATAGAAGGGAGTACCTAAATAGAACATGTACAAATAACTTTGGATTTCACGTGTCATACAGTGACCATAATCCATGTTTTACTTTTGATCCTGACGGAATGCAAATGGACCGGGGTGTTATCCCTGGAACTCTAAAAATAAAAGGTTCCTACATTACTTATCTAAGGCTGTGTTTAGTTTGTGAAATGAAAATTTTGGATGTTACATAAGATGTTTTGGAGATGTCGGAAGGGGTTCTCGGATATTAATAAAAAAATTAATTACATAGCTCGCCTGAAAGCTGCGAGACAAATTTATTAAGCCTAATTAATCAATCATTAGCGCATGGTAGTTACTGTAGCACTTATGGCTAATCATGGACTAATTAGTCTTAAAACATTCGTCTCGCGATTTCCAACCAAACTGTGCAATTAGTTTTTTTTCATCTATATTTAATACTCCATGCATGTGCCGCAAGATTCGATGTGATACTTTGGGGTGAAATTTTTTGGGAACTAAACCAGGCCTAAGGGCGCGTTTAGATGCAAAAATTTTTAGGTTTTGGCTACTTTAGCATTTTCGTTTGTATTTGACAATTAGTGTCTAATTATGGACTAATTAGGTTTGAAAGTATCGTCTCGCGATTTCTCACCTAACTGTGCAATTAGTTTTTTTTATCTATATTTAGTACTCCATACATGTGTCGCAAGATTCGATATGATGGGTAATACGTAAAATTTTTTAGAAATAAACAGGCCCTAAGTACCGAAGTATGAAAGGGCAGGCTTCCAGCTATTCAAGTTGCACATGAACTTGGATCCTTTACCTCACTGTCTACACGATAACTCAGGTTTTCAACAGTCTCCTTGAAGGGCTTCAGAGTTTTGGACAAACATGAGGACTAGCATGAAAAACTAAAAACCTAAAGCTGCAAGGATTACAGCAAGATCGATCCTAAAGCTAGGGATCAGTGAACAGTGCAGGTCGAAACAACAACAACAACAAAAAAAAAAAAAAAAAATGCACAGGACGTCACGCTCAGTCTCACTGCCTCTTTCCACACTGCTGTAGATTCCCCTTTCTGCCCATATATACCCAGCACGGGATGCCCTGACTGATCGGTTTCCCGAGCTGCACACACGCAACTACGCAAGCACGCGTCCTCGCTGCTCGCTCGCTCCCCAGTCCCCACCTCCGCCCGCAGCTGAGGCGGTGCGCTGCCGAGGCGTCTTTCTCCGATCGTATGTGCCGAGCTCCTCCTGTCTGCCTCATCCCCTTCTGTTTTGCTTGCACTTGAATAGCCGCCTTCGACTTCGCGCCTTGCGCAGCTCTTGCGTTTTTAGCCTTGGGAGTGCAAGAATCGGTGGCGTTCTTGGACATCCTGCGGGCCTTCTTGCGTGGATGCTCTTTTCTTGGCTAGTTGTTTGTTTCTTGCAGTTGCAGAGGAATTTTTCCTGGAATTGTCCCCGCCGTCTTGACGGTTTCTTGGTTGGGAGCAGGGCGGAGGCGTTTTTTCCTTCTTGGCCGGCGGCATGGACTGGGCAGCAGCTTCCGGGGCTCCGTCGTGGGGCGCGGCGGCGACGGACCCCGGCCCGACCGTGCTGTCCTTCGCGGGCCCGTCCTCCTCCACCTCCGCCGCCGCCGACGCCGAGGCGCGGCTCCAGGATTTCGCCGCGGGTCTCGCCCAGAGCGCGCGGCCGGCGGGGGCGGCGGGAGCCTGGAAGAGGTCCCGCGCGGCCGGGGGAGGTGCCGGCGCGGAGGCGTGCTCCGTCGACGGCTGCCGCTCTGATCTCAGCCGGTGCGGCGAGTACCACCGGCGGCATAAGGTCTGTGAGGCGCACGCCAAGACGCCGGTGGTGGTCGTCGGCGGCGAGGAGCAGCGCTTCTGCCAGCAATGCAGCCGGTAAGGGCTCCGTCTCATCCAATTCTCGCACCAGGCCGTGTACTGATCCTATTATTATTCAGCAATTCTTGTGCTGAGGTGGTCATTAGTTAATAATTCTGTGTGTATGGTATTGGTCCCCATCTACTTGCTAATTGAGGAATTGAGGGTGGGGGGATTTAGTGCTTAGGCCCTGTTTAGGTCACACCCAAAATCCAAAAATTTTCAAGATTCTCCGTCACATCAAATCTTGTGGCACATGCATGGAGCATTAAATGTAGGTAAAAAGAATAACTAATTGCACAGTTTACCCATAATTGGCGAGACGAATCTTTTAAGTCTAAATAGTCCATAATTGGACAATTTTTGTCAAATACAAACGAAAGTGCTACAGTAGCCAAACGCCAAAAATTTTCGCATCTAAACAGGGCCTTGCTTTGGGGCAAATTTAGGGGCAAAAACATCAGGTCTAGTTTGTTCCCAACCTGGCAATCTGAACAACGGGGTTGGTAATTTGGTGGCGTTTAGGATCTGATGGCGTGCTGATAAATTAATCTCACTGATGGGATGCGTCGCCGATTAAACTATTCGGTTGGTAATTTGGTGTTGTTTAGGGTCTTGTGACCCCATTAATTTAGTCCCGTTGGTACTATTTAAAGAAAGTTGGTGTGGACAACTGACTTCCTTGGTAGGGTTTGGTTTTTTTTATGGGATATTCAGCATCCTGCAGAATCTTTCTTATGATTGGAGTTTTGAAGTTTCTTCAGCTGCATTCTCAGGCCAAGCTCTTACTGTACTGAGATGCAACTTTCTGCAAACCATTGCTGTTTCCCAGCAACAAAATATGAAACCATTTCGTAAGGTCTAAGCATTTTCATTGCTTATTGTTGCTGATGATGATAAAAAGGAGGCTTCAAACTAGCATATACGTTATTTCATGGGTCATTCCTTTAGGCAAAGCCTATCCGGAATTGAAATGTGGCTGTAGCATTTGGTTTGGTTGATTTAATTTTCCTCCTGTTTCTGAATGCGAATTCTTCTTTTTTCTTTGTTACATACTAGAGGATTGCACAATTAACTGACATGAGTAGCAAACAAAACTTGAACTAAGAATGGGTGTAACTGTGTTTTCTCAGAACATTTGAAGCTTTGTTTCCTTTTCAAGTAGGAATCTTTATATATTAAGAAGGGATATTTTTTCTTAAAATAGTAGACATTAATCCTTTAATGGCACCAGAATTGTCTGTTACTCTGAAAATATCCTTGATAGCATGCACTGGTGATTTTGAACTGGATCTCAAAGTGAACTAGTGAAGTCTCACTAATATTTGCAAGCTGACTTATTGGTGAATAAGTAAAACAATCTATATTATTTAATTTATTCCTTTAATCTTTAAGTTACTCAACAATATGCAATGCTAAGTGCAATCCTGATCCAGAAGAGATCATCCATTTGGATTTTTCAATTCTATAGCTGTGTATTTGATATTTTCTACTGTCTTCCACAATAGAACTATCAATGCCATTAGTCAATGGAATTGAAATATAGGAACTGTAAGTGACAAATCAAAGGGAAAGCTGCTGTTTTGCTTAACACCTTAGCAGAAAGTTGGTGTTCCAAAGTCTCATTCAGTTCACATGTTTGATCTACAAATAATCATTATATTATGGATTCTTTTGACCTCACATATGTGCAATATGAGTCGGAGGCATGTACAAATTATTGCAATTGTCTCATGTACCTTATCCATTGAACAAGATCCTAGTAGTAGATCAGTGTGGGAAGTATATTAGAACCATTATCAAGGTTGAGTGAGTATGCCCTTAATGATGACAAAAATGAAACATGTACTGTCTAAATGAAGTTAATGTTTGTTGATGGGCCTAGATTGGTTGGAGGTGGATTGCGCGGATTGTAGGGAAAGGAGGGAGGAGAGGAGGGATGGAAGGGAGACGGAAGCCCATGGTTGCTCGTACGCCGAGAGTGGCTGGCGGCATAGGGCTAGTGCTTGGGATGGCAGCAGTGTAGGTGGGAGCCGCTGGGGAAGAGGGGGCAGCTTAGGGGCTGGAGAGCTGAAAGCTTTGAGAATTGAATCCTCTATTTCTTTTCTTGAATATTACGAGTACATGACCCCTTTATTTAATCTCCTTATGACTTGACCCCTAAGCAATCTAGGGCTAGAGTCCTTATAGATTTGGGCTCTACTTTTCCTAAACAAGCTCTAATTAAATTGAATTTTTTCTTCTCCTATTTTAATTAGAGTTGGATCCGGACTCCTTTTGGGAGGTAGCCGGCCCCTAGCAAGGGACATTGTTGTCTTCATGTCCTTGGGACTTTGTAGCTCGATGTCTGTCTTCAGCAATTCCATTAGTCCCGCTGTGTAGATGTTAACTTGCTGGAGCTCGTCGAGGGGTCTCACGTGCCACATGTGTGAGGAAGCGCTCGGTGAAGGAGGACCAAATTGCTCGTTGACACAACGAGAGTAATCTCGGTCCTTCATCACCTTTTCTTGTGCGAGGCACATGTATGTGCACCTCCTGTTAGTTGAAAAATGCATACCACACCTTTTTGTTGTTGGGGATCCACTGGTCCTGAAGAACTTCTCACAACGATTCAAGCACGGTAGTGGGTACTCCTTTCCGTTGAAGGTTGGGACGGACAACTTGCGGTAGTGCGGCTGGAATATGGGATAGGAGATTGGTGCAGATGAATCTTTCGTCGGCAGGGGTGCCTTTGGGGATGGGCCAGTCTTTGGCGGTGTGGCAAACGTGTGTTCTTCATCTACTGGGTGATCTCTGAGACGCCCTAGGACAACGAGTTGTTTGCCTTCTCTTGTAGGAAGGTGGGCGGTGTCCTCGATGACATGCCTACTTTGGGCCTCCAATTCTTTCACGACAGTGGGGGCTACGGCGTCATCCTTGGTGCCCTTGTTACCACCTTGCTCTATGGCGATGAGGTGGTTATTGACGTTGTTGAGTTGTTGCACCTTTTCCATGTGGGTGCTGATGTCGACCGTGAGGCGTGAGCATTGCGAACCATGCCTAGTTCCTGGCGACAATGGTGGAGGTGTTATTGTTGCTATTAGCAATGGATTCTTGTTCTTTGGATACTAGATGTGATGGGCCTCAATTGGTTGGAGGTGTATTGCGTAGATTGTAGGGAAAGGAAGGAGGATGAGGGATGGAAGGGAGATAGAAGCCCATGGTCGCCTGCACGCTGAGGGTAGCCGGTAGCATAGGGCTAGCGCAAGGGATGGTGGCAGCATAGGCAAGGGCAGTGGCGGCGATGGGGGAGAAGGGCGGACACAGGAGAGCTGAAAGGTTTGAGGATTGAATCATCAATTTCTTTTTTGAATATTATGAGTACATGACCCTTTTATTTATACTCCCTATGACTTAACCCTAAGCAATCTAGGGCTAGAGTCCTTATAGATTTTGACTCCTTTTTTCCTAAACAATCTATATTTCGTAAACTGAATTTATTCTTATCCTATGTCTAATTGGAGTTGGATGCGGACTCCTCCTTCGCGGAAGGGAACCGGCTAGCCAAGAGAAGTTGTCGCCAAACAAGCAGGATGGATTGTCCTATCCAAAAATCCATGGACTTCCATATCGCATCCATGCTTGATGTCAACAAAACACACCCTACAACAACAACAACAACAACAACAAAGCCTTTTAGTCCCAAGTAAGTTGGAGTAGGCTAGAGTTGAAACCCAACAAGAGCCCCTAGTCACGGTTCAGGCACATCAATAGCTGTTTTCCAAGCACTTCTATCCAAACAAATATCTTTAGGTATATTCCAACCCTTTAAATCTCTTTTTATTACTTCCCCCCATGTCAGCTTCGGCCTTCCTTTACCTCTCCTCACATTGATATTACGACCTAGGACTCCACAATGCACTGGTGCCTCTGAAGGTCTCCTTTGGACATGGCCAAACCACCTCAACCGGTGTTGGACAAGCTTTTCTTCAATTGGTGCTACCCCTAGACGATCACGTATATCATTGTTCCGAACTTGGTCCATCCTTGTGTGGCCACAAATGAAGCGACCCCGATTTCCGCGAAGGGAAATCCACAGTGTTGAAGTGTAATAAGACCGTTGTAGATCATATTACCCAAATTCCAGTGGAATATCACATCCATACAACGATAATATCAGAGTACAAATAGTACGGAATTACATAAATTATTACATCGCCGCATTGGCGGAATCAAAAGTAGCATTCATTCAGAACAGCTTGAAGATAAGATCGCCAAACTCGAATGTAGGAACGAACCCCTCAACCGTCAAACTCCTCGGAGCTATACTCCTCAGCAGAACCTGTGTGCCAAAATTTATCAGTACGATTTGTACTGGCCACTCCCACCCTAAGAGCATTGCTTTGTGAAAATTGGATGCAAGTTGGATATAATCAAAAGAAACATATAAGGCTGGGGTTTCCTATGTATTAGCATCTCAGGTATATATTAACAGTTGGTCAAGTTTTAACACCATTTCCGCACCCATTCCACCCCATTTCTGTCCAGAGCTAGGTTTCGATCCTGGGATCGATACACCATCATCTCCACACCATCACCATACCACACCCATATTATCGCTCAGTCGACAGGCCAACTCCTTCTCGGCACTGTCTCAAGGCCTGTAGCCCCTGGCTACGTCCGAACACTCACTCCCAGGGGGAGAAGAGAAGGACCCATCTCACTATCTAGTTTAAGCGAAACCCAGGAAAGGTCCATAGCCGACAAGTCAGCATATGTATCGATCGATCAACCATACACTCTGTAGAGGTTTTACATAACCACAAGATCCGCCTTCCTCGCTGACCGTCGTCAACTGGGCTGATTCCGGCCGCTTGCTAGCCTAGGATAATGCCACTCTACCATTCAGCCCTGGTACACCCCAAGTCCGGTTTGGGGTGACTAAAACTGTGAGTCATGAACCGGGTCCACAAGGTCTTCATGAAGTCTCGGAAGGGTGTGAGGGGAATCCTCCGCACCCCATACCTCCCTCACACTGTCCGCTATCAACCTAGCAGTAGTGGCAATACCCTACCAAGTAGTCCGGCCGTCCCGCACCATATAGGGTGAGTGGTACGTAAGGCTTCCCGGTGAATCTGAATACTGTAAGTCCTTAGGGATGACCAAGCCAGAATGTCTTCATCAGGGTTTCCATTTACCGTGCCACCACAGCACCTCCACCTTGGGCTCCTCCCATCATAGGATCACACCTAGGGCCACCTCATAAACCATTTACCCACCACAGGTATCCATTCCAGGGGTGCCCAGGTAGCACCCCATGGCAAGACTTGCCCCAGGCTCGTCGTATACTCTAACTTGATCGACACAACCCTCACCCTCCACGCACTGTCACACACACAGCACTCTCCCCATAGTCCAGATAACACCAGTTTTCCACCACGCACCAATGTAGTGCAAGCGTAGTAGAAATAATAAGCAATGAAATATAGTAGCAAGCGTGTGACTAGCCTAACAGCTGGGTGAGCAGGGGCAAGGTTGCGTCAAGGTAAAGGCCATCAAGAAAGCATACTACCATGCTAGTCCTATCATGGTGTGATCATAACAATAAAGTAAAGCACTAGCATTTCTATTTTAGCCATGCGTAATAGGTGCTACGAGATTGGGTTGGATGTGGCACCTTCAGTGTAGTCGTCTCCGTACTTCTCAAGGTACTCACGATCCTCGTCGTCCGGTTCTCCTCCGAGTCTGCAAACGATCGCATTATAGTCGCGTTAGCGACGTCTATAGAATAGCACAAAGATGCAATGAAAATTTAAAAGAGCCAAATGCACTCAAACATGGGTTCATTGCGTAGAGCTTGATTTTAGATGAATTTTGGTCCTGGTT